AAAATGCCCCTTTTTTTTTTTTTTTTTTTTTTTTTTTTTCCTTTCAAGATATTATGTGCTTTTTCCTTGAGTAAACTTTTGATTTTTTATGGAAGTGGTGGTGAGGTGAGCACCTTTTACAGAGGAATCGAGGTTATTGAATCTGAAAGTTATTATTAGTTGAGACTTAAGATAAGTGCAAGTTTTTTTTTTTTTTTTTTTTTGTGCCTTTGGTCACAGTCACTTATTGCAGAAATTCCATATCTAATAATTAGAGTTGTTTGGTCCTCTCCTCAGTTTTCCGTGAAGGACAAATTCTAACGTATGAGTTTGGTTAGGTCTGGGATCGGCGTTGCTTAATTGCTAAAGGCAAGCCAGCCGGGGTTTTAATGGGACACCTTGAGGGCATTACATTTATTGATACCCGTGGAGATGGACGTTATTTCATTTCAAATGGTAAAGATCAAACCATCAAACTTTGGGACATACGCAAAATGTCTTCCAATGTTACCTGGTATGCTTTTTCCCCCAGTAATATTTTGATGTCCACATTTCTTGAATTGTAAGCGTACAATATGTTCTGACAAAAGGAAATAAATAATGGGTAAATTAGACTTTGACCCATATTTTTGCCTGGTTTTACTTTGCCAACTAGTTTATGTAGGTTGAATATAACAATGGAGAGATAAAGATTAAAGATGTATACATTGGCAGATTTGTAAATTTTTTAAATTAAAATAAAATTTTGAAAAAAAGAAATAGTAATAGTGATACTTTTTGCTTGTGCTAATGTTATCAAATGGAATCATGGGAAAGATAAGGACATGTGAAATTTAATAAGAAAAAAGAATGTAAACTTCCATTTGAAATATGTCATGTCATTTTATGCATTGAGTCCGTGGGAAATGAAATTGAATCTACATACATAATTAAGAATTAAGATCTTCAATTTTCTACATGGTCATGTGCGGTGGGAAATGAAATCAAATCTACATAATTAAGAATTAAGATCTTCAATTTTCCACATGGTCATTAGTCTTATGCATGATTATGTGGAAAATTGAAGATCTTGGAATAATTTACAGAATTCCGTCTTGCATGTGATATTAATAGATTTTCAATCAGCTAATGATGTCTGTTCCTTTCTAGGATTATGATATTTCTAGATGAAATTGTTGTCAATGCAATGACATACTATAACAGAATTTTCTCTCTATTCCAGCAATCCTGGGTATAGGAGTTATGAATGGGATTACAGGTGGATGGATTACCCACCCCAAGCAAAAGACTTGACTCACCCATGTGATCAGTCAGTGGCTACTTACAGAGGCCATTCAGTCTTACGCACTCTAATCCGCTGCTATTTCTCCCCAGCTTTTAGGTAAGCACTATGGTGGCCTTGCTTTGTAATTATTCTTCATTTTCTTGTCATGGTCCTCTTTTGACTTTTTTCTGTCTTAAAGCTGCAATTGTTTCTTAGTCAACCAAACTGCTTGTAAAAAAGTATGCTTGGTTTTTTTGGGGGTGTCAGGTTCATATTTGGACCAGCCATGAAGCTTGCTTGAGCATATTAGTTATTGTGTTTTATACTGTTTTTTCCATATAGATTTTATGACTTTTGAATTATTGGGGATTTTATTAATTTTTTTAACCTAATGTTGTCTTCAAATTTACAGCACTGGCCAGAAGTACATCTATACTGGATCACACAACGCATGTGTTTATATATATGATTTGGTATGTATTTTAGTTACTACTGCTCTGACATTGTATCCATGTTGCATAATGGGGACAATATTATTTAGGTACAAGTTAACAAAAGTATATTTCATAACCAATTTTTATGACATTAATATCCATTATATTAAACGACAATCCACCCTTTTGTCTCTATCCATTTTGCATTTTTTATGAGATAAAAATGTGGATTATGATATATTTGAAGCATGAATCTTTGAGCAAGAGTAATAAGACTACAGGTTTCTGTCTTCATTACCCATACAATGGTTTGCTTAAGAGGAAACACTGATCACACCATGATGATAGCTATTGTGAATAAAATCTGAATAAAATTGTAAAGAGCGGTGTAACGTGATGGATATCCTGTTAGCCACTATGCATGAACATCATAAAATTTTGCAGTTAGATTCATTGAACCTCTGTATTTGAAAGAAAAAACAAAAAAAGTTCAAGTTGGTTCTCTGTTGATGATTCATTACAGGTGAGTGGGGCTCAAGTTGCGACGCTGAAGCACCATAAATCACCTGTACGAGATTGTAGTTGGCACCCCTTCCACACTATGCTTGTTAGCTCTTCTTGGGATGGAGATGTTGTGAAATGGGAATTTGCTGGGAATATGCCAGCCTCCTCGACAAAGAAGAGGGTATGGACAAGACATTTTTATGAAGATTATCTATGATGTCAGTCAAATCAGTTATGAAATGATCTGGGAGATCCACACCCTGTTAATAATGTTGTATAGGATGTTTTGACATAATAAGGCACGACATGAACTGCCACAAAATCTAGGTACATAAATAACAATGTAAATTGAGATTGTGATCGATTCATTAGTACGCAGTGCCTGTAATCAATTATTTATATTGTACCCATGCGTCATTAATTGGTGCGGTCTTCTTGTGGTGAACCTAGACTGCTGCATGGTGCTTTTTGCTGAAGCATTTACACGTACACGGTACCCCTAATTATTGTGGAGCACCTTTTGTAAAGATCATGAATAAAGCTAACAATGCTTCTGGTTTCTTCAAAGTTAGGCCGTTCCCTCCTTCAGATAGCTGTAAAGCATAGAAAAAACAGTGGTAGCATATATTTGCCAAATCGCCACTGCCAAGATGCCTATATTACAATAGTTGTGCCGTTGTGGCTGTCATGAGAATCTTTATTTATGGGCTCATACTTTGTTGTCTTGTCTTGGTTGTTTATCGTATTATATCTTTGTCACGATACCTTGGTTCCTTGATTTTAATAGACCTCATAATAATTGTTATAGAAGAGCAGGTTTGATTTATAACTTTCTCTTAAAAAGCAAAAGTGTTCCAAAAAATTATGACTTTTACCCTTTAAAGAATGGAGAAAAATCTCGCATTACTGGCGTGAGTAGCTGTTTCTGCGAAAGGGCCACACTTCTTAACCAGTTGTAAAACTATGGGGGACCCTTCTCTCTGCCGTCTGGGTATTGGTAATGCAAGCAAAGATGTTATTCTAAGCTACAAACAAATTGTGAGATGAAAAAACGTGGGACTCCACAAGGAAAATGACTGAAATGTGGAGTAAATTAAGTACGCTCAGTACAATGAAGGCAACAAAACATGGAGGGTTGGGTTGGGGCCTCTAACAGAAAAAAGCTTATAGCCTTTTTATTTTTGGCGACAACGGCCAGATAAAATTTTAGAAATACTTGAATTAATTAAAGGCAAGTTGCAAAAGATTGCTATTTACTATTACCCAGAAGGTTTTCTATGTGAAGATTAGGTGTAGCAAGAAAACTCCCAGTGGATTGACTTAAAAAAAAAAATAATAAAAAAAAAATATATAGATATATATATAGAAGTGATGATAGATTTAATCATATATTGAGCCTATTTAGATATAAACTTGAAAATATTTTTGGGAAATTTTTATTAAAAAATACTCTATTTTTAATAAAAAAAATTCTAAAAAAAATTCTTTTTAACTTGTATCGAACAGGCTCATTAGCAGATATAGACATGCACTTTGCCAAAATTTCGAACGTGTGACCGGATCTAGTACATCCAATTTATCGTGGCAACAAGCCGAGACAGACAAAGAGTTAGATATAGGAGTGGCAGTGGGTGGTTGACTATGTGTGTTCGGTTGTTTAGCTGTTTCATGTGCCCTTCAGTAAATTTAATCCAGCCCTACCTAAACTTGGTTTTTTTCTTCTTGTTTTTTAAACATTTGCTTTTTACTATGGTGCTTCCTTGTCGCCACACTCGCACAGAGGGCAGAAAAAGAGAGAGCGGGCCAAGATTTAAAAGGCATTTACAATTACAATGCAACAAGAGATCCACCAAATTGTTGTCCCTACAACCATTTTCCATTGCAGGGAGCAGCTACTCGTGCTCATGGAAAGCTAAAAAGGCTAAAGAAACGGTAATTACACCGAATGGCCACCACTCCACTTCAAAGGATAGAATCTGAATCTGTAATCATGTGTTATACAATCATTGTAAAAATAAGTAAACTGAAATCGATGGAACAATCATCAATTGGCATTGAATTAGATCACTCCTCTTCCAATTTGTACCCAAGTTATGAACGGAAGGGGTGCCATACCACTGATAAAAAAAAAATAAAAAATAAAAAATAAAAAACTTAAACCCAACATGTTTTTAGTATGTAAATTTATTTTTATTCTATCCAATTTACAATTGATTCTTAATCATGTAATATTTGAAATAAATTATTTCGGTCCCTACTCACATATTGGTAGCAAATCTATCAAACAAAATATCTGTTACACAAAATTTAACTTAACAAAATCACATTAAATTCAACTTAATACAAATTCAACTTAATACTAGTGAATTTGTTCCGGTAGATAGTCCTAAAAGGCTAAAATATTATTTTAAAAAATTATATAAACTAAAAATATGAATTCTGATTTCGAGGAGAAACTAATTTACCTCAATATTTAAGTAATAATACTCGAGTAGAAAAAGAAAAGAAAAGAAAAAAAGCGTTCTAATGCGATTACGCTGATGTTAATACAAACAAGAAAAAGAGTGAAATGAGGGAACTGGGTTTCTTTCAAGTGACAGTGACAGAGATAGTATCTGAATAACTTTACTAATGGAGTAATCATATTACATTAGTAATATAGATAATACATATATAGAGCGAGCGAGCATGAGACTTGAGTAGCTCCCGGATGAAAACAGGTAAAGCAGCATCTAATAAATGTAATCCAAAAATATTGACAATCATCTTATTCATCCCTCCATAATAATTGATAATTATGAGAAAAATAAATAATAACGAATGAAAAGGCAAGAAGAGAAGAAAAAAGTATCTGATTGGGTGAAGGTCAGTTCTTAAACTGGTTGCACTGCAGGGTAGGTCTGGTTTTCTGGTTGCCAGCCCTCAAGGGGCAGGGGGTCTCTACGGGAGGGACCATGCAGTTATACTGGAGACAAAGGGAGCTTCTCTCGGGAATCACCGCGGTGGGGCTTATCTCAATTCCGGTGAGATAGTTATGCTGCAAGTACAGTATCTGAATGCTCGCGTCCAGCAACCGATCCACGAAGCTCGCCGGTACCCGACCCGTGAACCGGTTGTTGTTCAGGTACAGATTCTGCACGCTCGCCAGCATCGACGATATCTCACCCGACAACCGGTTGTAGCTCAGATCAACGGTCGAGATCGACACCTGCTCCGTGGGCTGGACCGGGCCCGAGAACTCGTTCCTCTCCAGCTGAAGATTCGCCAGCGGGAAAGAAAAGATCCGGCCCGGGATTGGGCCCGTGAAGCGGTTCAAACTAAGGTCCAAGTAGTTTAGTTGGTCGAGGCGGGTCAGGAGGCGGTCCATTGGGCCTGTAAGTTGGTTCCACGCGAGTGAGAGGTACTGCAGAGAGGGAGGGAGCGAGTTGGGAGGCAGCGAACCGGAGAGAGCGTTGTGTTTAAGGTCAAGCCGGGTTAGTGCGCGCGACTCGAACCGCGGAACCGAACCGGAGAGACGGTTGTGGCAGAGGATCAAGTTGGTTAGCTCCGGCAGTGATCCAACCGTTGGAGGAATGCGTCCGGTGAGTTGGTTGTAACTGAGATCGATGGTGCGGAGGTTCCGCAGCTCCCCGAGTTTGGTTGGGATTTCGCCGGAGATGAAGTTGCGGTTGACGCCGAGGAACCTGAGGTTCTTCAAATCGGAGAGAGACTCCGGGAGAGTACCGTAAATGCGTCCGGGAACGACGGTGAGCTCGGCGAGCGCGGAGAGTTTCCCGAGGGCGGGGTCGAGGCGGCCGGTGAGGCCGGGGGAGCCGGCCTTGGGGTCGCCGAGGTTGAGCGCGATGACCTTGTCGGAGTCGCAGTAAACGCCGGCGAAGGTGCAGGGGTCGGCGGTGAAGTCCCAGGAGGAGAAGAAATCGGAGCCTGGCATGTCTTGTAGGGCTTTGCGAATGGATTGCAGAGCGAGAAAATCCGCAGGGTCCAAAATAGCCTGCACATGCAGCAAACAGAAGAAAAAGAAAAGCACTGCGCACTTCGCCATTGAAGCTCAATGGACGAAGAAGCAGAAGAGAGCGATTTATATATAGGGTTTAATGGCGGAACTAATAGTCAAAGCAAGTGAGTTCTCTATCTTTGGCTTCTCAGAGAAGGCGCAATGGCAATGGCAATGGCAATGGCAATGGCAATGGCAATGGCATTGGCATTGGCATTGGCAATCACTCTACACTGCTTTTTACTTTGGTGTACTTGCTTCTCTTTCTCTTCCAACCAACCAAACTCAGGTTAATCAATTTTGATTATATTTTTTTTATGGTTGCAGTAATATTTTATTCTTTTTCCTTTCTCGGGAACAGTTTTATCAAACGGTTGTCCGAGCCTACGTGGCCTCCCTGCCTCACACCTCATCACCCTCGTCTCTCCCGAACCACACGCCAAACCATTAGCTACGGCAGCTGTCAAAATGATTGGGTCGCTGGCACGGGAAAAATACATGACACGTGTTAAACATCTACCCAAAGGTTATCACTTTTCACTTATGACAAGGGACACACCCATTCTTTTCGTTAATTATTAAACAAAACAACACGCACTTTTCCTCTTTTTCTTAGAATATTAGTTATTTACTGTTCTCAACACACCTAATCTTGTCATTGAATTGTGAAAATATAATTATTTAGATAAATAAAAATATAAAAGAAGGAAAAAAAATAAAATACAATAAATTGCATAAAAAATGTTTTATACTAATTAGAAAATTATATTTAGTCAAAATTTACACACTTTACAGTATTAATTTTCTATACATGTTTTTTTTTGTTCTAAAAATTTTATTATATGATTATGAAAAAGTAATTGTATATCTTAAAATGAATGTTTTTCTTTTCTTTTTCAATAAACAATATTAATATTATTATAGTCTTTCTACACTCCATAAGAAATGTGCAAGTGAGCCAAAAGGCCCAAAAGCCAACCAACATTGTCAGGAGGAGAGCAAGGGCAAGCAAGTGTGGGTTTTATGTGAGTGAGTGACAGCTAAGTTATACAGTGGATTATCCAATACGACATAAAATATGGGTTTTCTAATTTCACCCACTTCTTGTGTGATTCAGGAGGTTGGTTATATTTATTTCTGGTATATAATATGGGGCCCTCCCTATTTCGCTATAGAGCAGAATTGATCATAAGTTATGAATTTAAGCAAAATGGATCATCAGGAGGTTGATACTTGATATGCATCAGTAGTCAGTACCATTCTTGCTTGGAGTTCACAGGGCCGGGCCCCAAAGCATAGCATAAATGTCACTAATTAGACTAAAATAACTTCTGCCCTCATCATTAAGTCCACCCTCCCAAAATTGTCCTAGCATTAAAAATCAAGCTAATATCATTAATTCTCATAGCTAGAGATAAACGTAATCAGTAATTAGTAATTACACCAATGCCTCTCTTTCTGTTGGATGAAAGGAGGTGGTTTGAAGCTGAAGTAAGCTGAGTCAAATGCATTTCTGGTCAAAGATATGCATGCTCCAAAGCTTGTTTCGCAATTCACATTCACCAATTACCGTGTGGAACAATGAGTTCATGCCCCCTTCTTTTTCTTGGTTACAGAATGTAAGTCAACATAACAGAATCAAAGCACCTATCATGTGCTCCGCTACGTACTAAGGGAAAGTTCGTTTCGTTTTCCTAAATTGTCCACTTTTTATCTGCACTCTATTCCTATCCTTTGTTTACCCCTTTTTTTTACCTGTGCTCTATTATTCTATCCTTTGTATACCCACTTTTTTGTTGTTATAACTATCTCAGCTCTACTTGCGTGGGTCAAAAGCTATACTGTTGTAAATTATATTCTCAAATTTCAAACCCCCACGAAAAATAATTGAAAGTAATCCCAAATAGGCCTATATTTGAGGTTGCCGTAAAAGCAGATATGATTGTAGCTACAATGTTTGATAACCATCACCAACTTGGAAAGTTAGTTTAATAACTATACCCAATTTAAATATTAAAAAAAAAGAAAAGTCTATTATTTTGTTGCTATTAGCCTAGCACTCTGCAGTGATTTATATTCTACAACAAGCTTTTACGTTAAGAGCAAGTTTTCTCACAACCCCACAAGACAATTTCATGTTCTATAATTTATAGTTCTCCAACCTCATACCTAACTATAATTTTGTTAAATTGATGATTATAACCTCTAGTAAGAATCGGAGACAATATGGCAGCTAAGGAATTTGCGAGTAGCTGAGACAAACACATGAATATGGCTTGGGATATAAAGAAGTGAACAAAACACAACCTGTTTACAAATTAATATTGTCGATAGAAATGTGTGCATCACAAACTCAAGTCCAGCCAAGCAGAATAAAGACAGATAGAAAGCATATTTTTTATGAATGTGAAAGAATGATGTCTCCGAGTTTGGTCCCAAGACATGCAAAAGCGAGCAACCATAATACTAGCTATGTAGCTATCTGATTAAAACCACCCCACATTACTTTTTTACCATAGAAATCGTGGGAGGCAGTATAGAGAAAGAAAAAAAAAAAAGATCCACATGATCCCCCAAATGGTCCAGTCTAATTAGAAGTTGCATACACCAACCACAACAACCAAAACACCTACTTATTCTGGTTCATAGAGTCTTCAATTTATGGAGTTTGGGGTGGTGGCTTGCGTCGTGATTACTCTACTCTACTCTCTAGTGTCATATTTATTCCGCATGCGTATTAATGTAACTTCATTGTACTGTCTTTTTCATCCAGCTTCTGCAATGATCCCACATGGTTATTTTTGTACCACATTTTTAACCCTCTTTACTTCCCACTATGCATATTGCATACATAACAGATCTTATGCGGAAAATGCAATCATTTGGTTTAATTGAATACATGTAAGAAAATAAGTTTGGACAAATCTTAATGAAGTAACTCAAATTTTGCTATGTGTGTATTGTGCCCAAAACGTAGTGTGAAGATTGCATCATTTCTAAACGTAAAATAAGGATGGGAGATACTAGGCTTGTGAGGATTTATCTAGATCGAATATCTTCTCGCTACCTAGTTAGTATTATGGTTGCTAGCTTTTAAGGTAATGATATTATTAAAATGAGTTTTATCTTCAACAATATTTTTTTTCTACTATAAATATTTTTAATTTATTTGGTTAAAGACCAATCTCACTCGTAATATTATGGCTTATCACTAATCTAATAAATCTTTATATATAGCAAAAATAAAACATAAGAGTTCTCACAAAAATAAAAAATGAAGTATCATATGCATGGTCAAGAATTGCATTTCAACAAGTATATTTAAAAAATTCAACTATTTATCAAACTTAACAAAATTACTTTCTTTTTTGGATGTAATTATATATGTTATTGTCACATGTACAAGGAGCTAAGATCTAGGTATGAATTGGACAAAAATTATCGCATTACATCTTTTAATAATAGAGAAACTAATTAATTGTATCTTTTAATAATAGAGAAACTAGTCAATTAAAGAAAACGACAGAACAAAATTAGTCTACACTTTTTTTCATAATGCGATTTATCACTTTTTCATTCACATATCTTTCCTCCTTTATAAAACTTTGAATCTTTCCTTACACAAAAATAGTAATAATAATTTCACTTAAAATTTGCTTTTATATTATTTTTTTCATAAATTTTTAATGTCAAAATAATCACTTCTAAAGTTTTTGTTTTTATATTACGACCTTTTCTTTATCTCAAATATCATTTACTTGTAATACCACTTTGATTTTATTTAAAAATTTGCTTTTTTCTTCTAAATTTGATATATACTTAATTTTTTATTTATTTAAATTAATTATTATTTATACATATTTTGATTATAATTTAAAATTTTCTTTTAAATATTTTCAATTTATTTTAATTTCATGTAAATTAAAGATGATATATACAATGTAGCAGCTCGTTACTTTATTGTTATACACACTGAGGCTTAACCATAAACATTTGTAAACAAACGATTAAAACTCTAAATACAGTTTCCCCAACCTTTTGGTACTGATCATAAAAGTGTTCGTAAATTCAGCAATCAATCTTCTTTTGCATTTAATTGTTAGGACTTGAGGTTAAATCCCACCTCAGCTCCCTCCCTTCTTGTGTGTACTAAATATGTTTTATTTTAATATTATGAATCATTCATAATTTAATAATAAAAATGAATAGATTTTCTTATTTATATTATACATTTTAAAAATTAGATTATTATAATTTACTTAAAAATATTAGTCTAAATATTTAATACCTTAAAGATTCATTTGATATTTACTTATTAAAAAATATATTATATCAATTATGTCTCTTAAATGAATAAATCTATCAAGTTATTATAAATAAATATTTTTTTTGTTTTTTAATAATTGAAGAACTTAACATCACATATACGTGAAAAAAGTGAAAAAGATGAAAAAAATTAAACGAATAAAAAATAGAAGAATTTAAAAGGTAAAAATTAAAAACATCATCAAGTAAAAAATTTAGGTAAATCACTCTAATATTATAAATAAATACGTTAAAAATATTTAGGCTAAAAACCTATTTTGGTCTTTTATAATAATTGTTTGTTTTAATTTAGTCTCACTTTTATTTTTTGTTTCAATTTGGTCCCAAATAAATTAATTGGTTTCAATTTGGTCCCTAATGAATTAATTGGTTTCAATGTGGGACTTATGTCAAAATTTATTTAACGGTATTAACTATTAGCCACGTGGATGCCACGTAGATGCACACGTGAATGCCACTTGGATGACTTTTTTTTTTTTTAAAACACCTGAAACCAGAACGACCAGTTCTGGGTGAACTTTAGGTATGTTAATTTTACACCCGGAACGGCCCGTTCCAGGTGCAAAATTAACACACTAAGGGTGCAACCAGAACGACCCATTCTGGTTCCAGAACGGGCCATTTTGGTTCCAGAACGGGCCATTTTGGTTCCAGGTGTTTTAAAAAAAAAACCATCCAAGTGACATCCACGTGTGCATCTACGTGGCATCCACGTGGATTTGGTACAAAACATTTCAAATACTGTATTTGATAATATTGTCAATGAAAGTTGATAACTTTAATTGTTAAACAGTTGGGCTATACAGTGTATCATTAAGGACAATGCAGTGTATCACTAAAGATAATGGTAGCAGATTTTATTTCATTGTTAGTCAAGCTGGAGTGAACCACTTACTACCAACAACAAGAACCTGTTCTTAAAGAGGTAGAACCTAAAGTAAAAGGAAGAGGATAGACAAGACTAACATTTCACC